AAATTGAAACTTGGAGATCAAGACAAAGCAGATTTTCGGAAACAATGGGAGAAAAGGAAAAAGAAGCATGGGACTTAAATATTATTTTATTATTGTATTCTTGTAAATATATTAAATTATATAATTTATTAAATTTATGATGGAATATTACACATTTGTTAGATATAGCGCATTTATTATTATAAAATGATTAAATTTTATTAATATGGTATAATTAAAAAAATAATAAAACAAAAAAAAAATTATTATTAAAATATTTATAGTTAAATCAAATGTTAATATTGTTAACCTTTATGAATAAGTAAAAATATTTTAAATTCAATATTATATTATTTATCTGTATATAAAATATTTTAACATCAAAATATACTCTAAAATCAAAATATTTTTATTTATAAATAATTTTTCCATTAAAAAAAATACATATTATATGAAATTATGTTTAAATTGATAATAAATTTAAAATTTAATGATTCTAGTTTTATAAATTACTCTTATATTTTATTTTTATTTGTAATTTTATATTATGAATTTGACTGCATAAAGCTTGATGAATATTGAAATTTTTCATTTTACGAATTTTTCATTTATAGAAAATTGAATATTTTATAATATGAAAAAAAAAGCATGCATAAGATTGAATGAATTGTTTATTTTTGTATTTCACAGTGAAAAGATATAAAGGAAATAAATTTCTTGGTAACAAAGAACAGCTTTAAAACTGTAAATAAATGTTTGCAAAGAAATGCTGTTTAAATTTATATATATATAAAGACATATACTTATAATATAAATAAATAATAAATTTATAAGTTTATATTAAATATTTTTTCTCATTCTAAAAAATTTTAAAAAAGTTTATTAAAGTAAAATATTAAGGTTTTTAATTAAAAAAATAAAAAGAAAAACTATTTAAAAACTGACAGTTTAGAAAATTGATTTCGTTTTGTCTTTCATATTTTTAACTTTCCAAGATTTTTATATTTTATTGTTAAAAAAATGCTCAGTTAATAAAATTTTTGTAGAATATTTTTCTTAATAAGTAATATAAAAAGTTTCAGTTTAGATTAAACAATTTCTTGCTGCCACAAGAGAATTCAATTTATGAAACTTTTTCTCATCTTTTATGATTTTGTGGAGATTGTTTCTTTCCCTAGGCTCAAATTTTCAGTTTTTTCTAATCCTATGTCATTCATCTTATTTATTTTTATCATCAATATACTAGTTTCTATTTAAAAAGTTTTATATCTATGTTTATCATTTTATTTGTTTTGATTATGTTGATAGTTGTTTCTATTATCAACATGTTTGTAATTTTTTTTATCTTGTTTTTTATTTAGTTTCTCTTCTGTTGTATATTTTGTTTATGTTTGTAATATCTATTTAATTTTATTTCAGATCAAATTATTTATGTTTTGAAAAATATAACTTTTAAATATTAAAATTGAACAGATTTTAAGATGATATAAATTACTATATTGTCTCTGTAGAAACCCACTGGGTTTAAACATTTTCTAAAACATTGACTTCTTTTAAGATCAGTATTTAATATATATTATTTAGTAATATTATATATTACTTCAGGTGCCTCAGGTATGTTCCAGGAATATTAAATATTTTTTAGAATTTTGAATAAGTTCTTTTTTAAATTTCATTTATCTTTCATATTTTTACCAACAGCTGACCAGTATTCACTAAAATGCTGACTGATGCAAAATTTGCAGCATTGGCATATCTTTTTCACAAAAGTTGCATGTGTCTAGCAGCATATGAACTCTTTAGAGCTATAAATGTTGCGGCTTACTTGCTTAAAGACAAATACTAGCTGTTTATGCATTGATTCAAATAGTCTTTTTATTTTCATAGTATACTTATTAAATTATGAGTTTTTGTCTTGGTAAATTTTATCAACTTTAATTTATTTTACATTTTAAACATTTTTATTTTAAAAATTATGGAATGTTGCAGGAATCATATTAAATTCAAAGTGTGTCACTAATTCAAACAGGTCACATTGTATAGTGTATATACCCCAACCTGTTTGGATTATATATGTATACTAGCAGACCCGCCATGTGTTGTGGCTCAAAATATATCTATTATAAATTTATAACACTTCCCTCGTGGGGGAGCAAATTTTTCGAAAAATTTCTTCTTAGTGTATATTCTCTTGACGTACCCTATTAAAACGCAATCAAAAACGCAAAAACCAGCATCTAAAATAGTATAAATAGAAGCAGAGTTCTTTACCATAAGCCTTAATCCTAACCATCTTCCTTCAGTGGGGTTGAATTTTGACACGTATATTATATAAAAACACGTAGGTATTCGAATGCAGCGTTGTGTCAAAATTTCAAAGGAATCGGTAGGAACAAATGAACATTACATTTTTATTTATATAAACAGATAGAAGATGATCTGCTTTAGTTCATTTTCACAGAAAAGCGTAATGCCTCACAGAAAAGCAAACTTAGGGCGTCGTACTCGTAGCACCATAAAAGCCTTAACCTAGATTATATCTTTTAATTTATATGAATGTTTAACGGAATAATATACAGCCTATGTCCACCCTGAAGTTCCATTCTAAATATTGGTGAAAGAATTTTTGAAATCGGATGAGTAGTTTCGGAGATTACCTGCTGCATACAAACTTACATACATACTTACAAACATTACCTCTTTATAATATTAGTATAGATTATACAAACATTACCTCTTTATAATATTAGTATAGATTATATGTAAGACCCATCCTTCATGTAAAGTATTATATATACATATTAGTATTATATATATATAATATATATTCATGTAAAGAGTATTATATATATATATACTCTTTACATGAAGTATGAAATATAGTTTTTAAAAACTTTCTTTCTATTACACAGGTCTGCAAGTAAAAAACTGCATAGGATTTTTATACATTTTCTTACAGATTTCAACTTGGTAAAAATGAAAAAAATACCAAAAAAATTCCATCTTGTCAATTTTTTTTGTTACACTCAAGTTTTTGTTTATATTTAGCGTAAAATTCCTAGTTAACTTAAAATTTAGTATTTTTTTTGTTTTTTTTTGTTTTTTGTGTTTTTTTTGTTTTTAAATGGTCTTAAAATGAAGACTTCTCACATTAATTCTATCAATTATAGCTGGACTTTGTAGTAAATAAATAAAAATGTTAATGGCTGAAGAGATAGTGGTAGAGGGAGGTGGGTTAAGTAGTTTTAGCATTAGGAGAAAGGTTGCATGATCATATAGAAACAGGTTAAAAGTTGATAGTGAGTAATAATATTGGTGAGGTTGAGCATATTTTGACATGTTATTTGGGATACTAGGAATAAATATAAACAACCTAATGTTGGATTAGATCATGTTTCAACAAGCTAAATAAGTTGAGTATCTCGCTGGCCATCTAATGCCACACTCAGTTTATATCCAGCATTCGAATGCTACTGTGCTTGTATTTTATTTCTGAAATATGGCTCGCAGAAGTTGTGTAATTTCTCCCAACAGCTTCTGTTATGTTTGTGGTGAATACATAGTGAAAAGTCAACAAAGAAACATTAGTGAGTTTATGAAAAAAGTTTAATTTGAGTCTTTTAAATTGAAACTTGGAAATCAAGACAAAGCAGATTTTTGGAAACAATGGGAGAAAAGGAAAAAGAAGCATGGGACTCTTTCAAGAATGTAGTCCATAAGTTTTAGGGGAATACTAAGGACTCTGATTACAAAACCATTGTACAATGCATGCTGGCAGCAGCGTATGAAGCTCAAGGATGCAAGATGAGTTTAAAAGTTCATTTCTTACACTCCCATATTGACTATTTTCCCAAAAACTTGGGAGCCTACAATGAAGAACAGGGTGAAAGATTTCACCAGGATGTCAGTGATATCGAGAGACGTTACCAAGAAAAATGGCATGTCAATATGTTAGCTGACTACTGTTGGATGTTCAATCGAGAAACCAGAGAAAGAAATCGGAAACGAGTTTGGAGAAGCATCAAAAAGAAGAAGAAAAGGTTTCATAAGAAAAAAGAGTAGACCTAAAATTGTGTATAAATATCAGAAACAATTTGTTGATTAGTTGTAAGAAAATATAATACAGTATATTTAGTTCATTGTAATAAATAAGAGTTTTTATCAAAAATTTGTTTCTATTTTGCAAAAAACCTTTACGTGATAGGATGTAACGGAAGTTATTTTTAGAATCTGTGATCTTTAAAACATATAATTCAGCAAAAATATTCCATGCAGCTGGAAAAAATTTTTTTTTGCAGACCTGTGTGTTACTGTCACTTTATCTGTACTTTTAATTTCATATACAGATAAAGTGATAGTACAAATTGCAAATTCATAGACAATATATATGGTAATCATGATGTTGTCCAAGGCTATCTGGGTGCAGATATTACAAAATTACCATACTTCAAATTCACTCTCCACTTTTGCTGTGGCTACAAGTAGCTTTACAATATTTTAAAGCTATTGCAAAGAATTATAAAAGTAATTATTGGTATTAAAAAATTCCTCAAATTTCATTTGAATGCAGCTAGCTTATTCTATATAAAATACCAATTTCTCAATAATAAAAATAGGATGCTATCATGAGGGAGGTGGTCTCCCACCACTTCTTTTTCTATTTCTTTGGTTAAATTGTGGGCTTCTAATAGAGAAACTAAAGTAAATTTCATATTTTATTTATTGTTTTGAACATTTTTTTTAGTTATTATAAAAAATATATTAAGAATTTAATCTTTGTAGATAATACAAAAATGTTGTGATTAATTTGAAATTAAGTTTCTAAAATATATTTATAAAGATTGTCAAAATTTCTAACATATTTGTACAAGAAAGTATTTTTTCTCAAAGAAACTCATAAGTTGGCTATGGACTAATTTCAAAACATTTGTCCTGAATAAATACATTTTTATCATCCAGGTATTTAAGTGTTACTTTTAATTCTATTTGAAATTTGTAAGTAAATATTTTTTTTAATATAGGTGAGATTGGAACAAATAGGAAAAGCCTATAAATGTGTATTAGAAATAATAGATGTTGAAAATAAAGATGGAGGAAAATATAAAATTACTGCAAAAAATGACCTTGGTGAAGCTAATTCAACAATCAATCTTAATTTGGATAGTAAGTTAATATAATTCTGGTTACAGAATTTAAATATTTTTAGATTATTTTAACTTTTATTAATTAATAACCTGACATATTTATATTTGAGTTTTATTTAAGAATAAAATTTAAATTTAATCTTTTTTTTATTAGCGGAAGAAGATGAAGAAGAGGAAGATGAAGGAAAACCTGCATTCTTGGGAAAACCAGTTATAAAGCAGTCTAATGATTTCAAAGATATATCATTTGTTTGCAAATTAACTGCAGATCCAAAACCAGTTATGCAATGGTAGGCAATTTATTTTGTACTTAAAAACATAATTATTTAATTTTATATAGTTAAATCAAAACATAATTGTTTAGAAAATGTTTCAAGTATTGTCAATATTATAATTTTTCAGATTAGCATAATGGTTAATTTTTCCCATTTTTTCTAAATTATACTTATTTAACTTATTTAAATAGTATTAATAGTAGTAAAAATATTTACCGTAAATAAAATAAAGTTATTAAATGATATAAATAGTTCTTATAATCTTACTATTAAATTGAAAAAAAAAACAAATATTAAATTCGTCTTACTTTCAAATAATAATTTAATGTTCATTGTTTGAGTATAATGGCAGTTTGAATTGAAAGTTTGAGCACAACAGTGATCTAACACTGTTTTTTCGAAAGTTGAGATATTGTATTTTAAAAGTGTTATTTGCTTTTTTACATGTTTCACAGTAAATTATTATTTATATAATTTATTATATTTGTTTTGTTTTCATCAATACTTACATGGAACCCTAGTAATTTTTCATTGTATTTAGAGGCAGTATACGTAATACATGAAAGTACATGCTAATTCAGTTTCAACATAAAGAGTTAGACCATTGTTGTGCTCAGTCTTTCAATTTATAATTAAACATAAGCCTCTATTTTTCATTATTTTTAATAAAATTTAAATAATTCAGAGTAGTTAGATTTCTAAAGAATTTTTCAATATAAAATTTAAATAAATATAAATATTATTTTGAAAAACATATTATGGTATTGGAAGTAGTTTTATATCTAAAAATATATTATTAAAATAACATTCTGATCCCTCTAAGATAGGATATTTATTTTATAGTGTATTTGGAATAATAAATATTGATGGTGTTTGTTAAGTCAACTGTTTATGTATGAAAAAAAAAAAACAGCTTTAATATTTTTTTTTTTTATTTTCTGTACAAGAATTTGTTATAATAAATTTTAAAATAAAATAAGTTGCTAATTTATCTTGTTCTCTATTACAAGATTTAAATGTTCAATGCAATTAAATTGGAAAAGAAATGTTATTACTTGATCAATTTGCTTCATTTGTTATGAACTGATTACTGTTTTACTTTTCTTTTATTCATGAACTTAATAACATCAAACTAATCCCATAACAACTAGATGATTTTTTTTCTTTTTTCTGTTTAAGACTCATCAATTCAAAATGATTTCTTTTGAATTTACATATGCTATTTTCTTTTATTCAGATTTTATAGTGAATAATATGGTTCAGAATATTTATTATAATAAAATAACTTTATAAATAAACTATGTTGTCCACAATATTCTTTAAAATGAAAAATTGGTATGATAAATAACTTTACTATATCATTATTTAAAATCCATTGATCTTTATATATTAAATTTTTTATGAATTTTATATTTTCTGTACTGAAATAATCTATTTAATGTATTTTGTTTAAATTTTTTAAATCAAAATTATTTTATTTATTACATAAATAATATAAGAACAACTTCTAAGAATAAAATAAAAATAAATCAATTTTTTTTTTCATAGTTTT